CCGGATGTGCACTCGTCCGACAGTCAACTTCCTCCTGTCTATGCTTTACTGCTACTACCATACAGAACGAAATATTCGTTCAACCTCCCGTCTCATTGTTTCTCTTCCTGCCTGGAACCGGGCCTGAATATCTTAGGGTTGATGCATACGAAAACCGTTCTGTCCACTGCGATGACTGCCAGGCCCATAGGCTTAGGATGCGACTCTTTTGCGGCCGGACGTTCACTCGTCCGACAGTCAACTCCCTCCGACTTATTCCCCACTGCTGTACAGAATAAACTATTCCCTTCACCAGGCGTCCAACTTCTTCTCCTTTCCACACGGAACCGACCTGAGGAACACACCGGCAAGGGTTTTGCCTAGTAAATTAAACCACCGAAAGTAATCTATCTTGACGCCGAACCCAGATGACTGAGGATGAAGAGAGAGCCTTAGATGTAGCGCAAGTCTACCATCGCCACAAACTCATTCACGCACGAGTCATTCTCCCTGCATCCACCGTGCTCCAAACATTGTCGGAAATGACAGTAGAACTGTCGTCAGAAGAAGGAATCAGAGTTGAAAAATGCTGTTGCTTGCCAGAACGTTCTGCACCAACTTGCTTTGAAAGTATTTCCACTGAAAAGAGCATCCTCCCTTAGTCATCACAGTAAAATGGTCAAGTACTTGGGCAGCCTAAAATCTCTTTTATGCCATTTCAGCAGGGATATTTACTAAAATCAAGCTCATAAGCGCTCACCCCTATTTTTATAACCGAATTTTTTCTTGTGGTTATTGTGGTAGCCAGTAAAAATGCATACCATTCCGGGATTTTATAATTGATCCACCTAGGCGATTGCTGAGGTACTTCGCCAGTATTCGGGTCGCAAACGCCTTTAATGCGCATGGTAGTTAAAAAGTAACGGAAGATGGGCTGTGTCGAAAGAGAAGAACAAAAAATTATGAAGACGATATCACTTACGAAGCCATCGTTGAGTTATCCATAGAATCCAGATTTCGGAGGTAGGAAATTGAGTCCTCCGAGAGCACAGAATCTGTCACAACTCCAACTCCGGGACGGCAACTGAAAGAATAATGAAGAATGCTCATGATATTTTTCGGTTAGCTTGGAGGACAAGAGGTTTGCACAAAGCCTTGCCATCTGGCAGAAAAGTACTAATTTCTGTATTTATTTTATTTTGGTGCCACACCCAACTGGCTAGTTTTCGTGGGCTTCGAAGTCTGGAAAGGCACTTATGCGTCTATTTCAGAACAGTCTACTAATTAAAAGTAAAGATAGATTGGGGGTTAAGTCAGAAGGCATCTTTTTCAGCTAACTTTATGGCGCATTTTCACACGTTGTTTGTAAGCTTCTGGGAAAAGCTGGGTGCCACGATTATTCATTAGAGCTCTTCCACCGAGATTTAGACTGCACATACTACTCAAATGGCGACAAAATGTCCTTATTAAGTAGCAGGCGGTGCGTGTCTCGAAAGCAAGACGGAGGGTTTCCTTCTGTTCAAAAGGATTATTTTATCTAATCTAACGCAATCTTTGGGGTGCATTGGTTTTTGGCCCGCCTCATCTTACTCACGTGTGAACCGAACTAGACAATAAAGTATTTCATTGGTCAGGCATTTAACAGAACGCAGAATAAGTAAACCTGCACTGCAGATAGTCTAAAGGCAAACGTATATCGCTACTAAAACTAAATTAAAATCAAACTAATTTAGAAAAGATACGTTAAACTAAATCGGACTAAGTAAACTGAAAACGAATCAAAACTAAACTTAAACTAAAATCAAACTTATAAAACTAAACCATAAACCAAAAACTAAACTGAAACTAAACTTAACTGAAAATAAACTTAACTGAAGTACAGTCAAACTAAACTAAACACGATGTAGTGTATAAAAGTAGTCGCAACTCAATATGAATTTCTGTGGGGGTTCAATTTTATAGGTAAATTAACTGTGTCGCCTCTTTTTGTTGATAAATTTTCAATACCAAGGTAGTTAAACAAGGCATGTTCATTACTACTAAGTAAGAAGGCAGTCATGCGAAGTAAATGCAGTGTGCCGGAAATCGGATTGTCACCTCTTCCGCTAAATACTAGTGTGAGGTTAGGGTTGGGGATAATTTTACGATAGTAGTCAGGAGACTATTGGTTGAGGTTGAAACGGGAGTAGCCACCGCCTTGGAATCTAGCGCAGAGTCACCTCGACTTGGGGAGGCGGTAATTATAACTCATTGATAAGCTTTCACCTGACCACTAAGGGAACTCATTTTTCCCGCTTGTCTGGTCTCTCCAGAAGCCCTGACAGCCGTAACCGCTGGAAGTAGCAGATGGTATTGCCGGCAAAGACAAGGGAGACTGGGAAGGGCGTTTGACTCTGAGCAAAAAGGTCCCGAGTTCGAGGCTCTGGTAGAACACCACTTGAGTCTGGGTATGACTGGCTGACAAAGACCAGTGAGCCAGAAATTGTCCATTCAGTCTCTCTTGTCTTCGCTGGCTATTTTATCTGCCTATTACAGGTAATTACAACTGCTGGTGGCTATAAATATCTCTACTGCAATCCTTATAAGTACCCCAGACCTGAGGTAGGTATTCTTTCTGCTAGTCTTGTCTCTGATGACGAATCCGCGACGGATATCGAAACGTCAGGCAAATAAACATATTGTCCCAGTGATCGAGTCTTCTTCTTCTCAATTCTGTGCTAGTATCTGCCGCAAAGCCTTTTTTAGGAATACTTTGCAAAAACTTAATGCTAGTCACTGATCCCAGAGTGTCGATTCATTTCGAAATTTATGAAAGGAGTATGAAGTGCCGTGAGCGCGCGGACTTACCTGAGTTGTACGACGTTGCTCTGCACTGAACCAGCTGAGTTGGTGACAACACAGCAGTAGTCGCCGCTGTCTTCCGCGTAGCAGTAATGGATGTCAAGAATCGCGAAGCCGCGATCCATGGTTGTCGAAAAACGACATCCTAAAGGAGAAGTTATTCGTTTTGAAAATTCTCTTTGTTGGTGGGGAGGGCGGGGGGTGCTTCAATAATTCTGTGAAAATAGGCTTCCTTGACGTCGGAGTGGGGGGGGGCGATTTGCATGCGCTGAATGTGGTTGTAGCGGCCCAACTCCGAGGGCAACGCTCAACCTCTCTTGGCTGCCAGCACGTACGCACCAGTGTCTGCCGACCCCAATCCAGCGTGGCCAATCACCTCTCTGAGGTTGCCTTACTCATGACCGCGCTTTAGACGCGTGTGACGACTCTCGCGCTTTCACATTAGGGACGCGGCCCTCACTGCTACGAACGCGCGTTCGTCCAACCACCAACTTCCTCTAACGTGGCGTTCCGCTTCTTTCCTAGGTTCTTCCCTACTAACTCTAGCCACTGCGATATGGTCGCCAATGCAGCTGCGAAACTTGCACGTTTCCCTGTTGTGCCAAATAGGCATTCGCATAGTGACCGGTTATCCGGATTCAAATCCCTAGTTGTCAAGGTATGGAGTTGGCTGGCTGAAAACAGCTAATAAACCAGCCAATACTATCCCGTTATTCCTTGCCTATCTGCCTAGTGGATTAGCAGATGTTCACCGTTACTGCTTATTAAGGCTGCTTACTGCTTAGTAAGGCTGGAAACTTAATCCTACGCTCCCCTCTTCAGGAGGCCCTTAAAGGCAGAGAATAGGCATTTTGGGAGCTTCGTCATTCGGGGCGGCGT